TAGGCGTTGGAGTGGTGCGGCTGTGATGTTGGACAAGTAGAGTGGTAGGCGGATGGAAAAGTGGACTGCGATATGGTAGAGCAAGTTGGAGTTCGTCGAATGCGGCAGATAGGGAGTAAACGTAGGGTGGAGGCAATTGATCGGTGGTAGGCGGTGGAGATGTTGAAGGAAGTGGAGGAAAAATGGTTGGATCGAGGCGAGTAGAGAGAGGCGGTAGAGGTTCATGAGGTGTAATGGATGGAATGTCGGATGAATCACGGGCACGAAGGCGAAATGCTGCTGCAGCTTGGATGGTGTTGATGGGTGGGAATTCATCTTCGTGGAAAACAACGTCACGGGAGTAAAGTAGTTGGTGGGAGTAGGCGTTGAGTAATTTGTAGCCCTTGCGCTCATCTGGTAGGCCCACAAACATACACTTGATGGCACGCGCGTCGAGTTTGTTTGTTTGATGAGTCTTTTGGATATGAACAAAGGCGGTGCAGCCGAAGGTGCGGATGTAGGAGAGGGGTGGGTGCCGGGAGAAAACGCGATGGTAAGGCGACTGGCCGTCATTCGAGGTGGAAGGCGAGAAACCTTTGATAACTAGGCGTACTTTGTACGTGCCGTTGGGCTTGATGCGGAAAACCCATTGGCAGGGCAGGACTGTCATGGTTTTTTGGCGTGTAACAAGATCTACGATCTTGTTATCTTGAAGGGACTGGAATTTGACTAGGGCGGTGGCTCGCCATTTGTCACGATCGGAACGGCGCATGGCTTCCTGCCAGTTTTAGGATCGGAGGAATTGGAGGGTAGGCGGGCTCTGAGTAAGGCGTAAAGATGCCATAGCGGGTAGAGTGGTGGATCAAGTGGCTGTGTAGGCGCCGAGAGAGGTGGGAAAGAGTAGGGGTAAGGCGGTGGTGGAAGAGTAGCAAGATCGTCGATGGAGATATCGAAGAATGGTAAATGTGAGGCGGAGAGACAGAACGGAGTGCCTGGTAGTGTAGGCGTTGGAGTGGTGCGGCTGTGATGTTGGACAAGTAGAGTGGTAGGCGGATGGAAAAGTGGACTGCGATATGGTAGAGCAAGTTGGAGTTCGTCGAATGCGGCAGATAGGGAGTAAACGTAGGGTGGAGGCAATTGATCGGTGGTAGGCGGTGGAGATGTTGAAGGAAGTGGAGGAAAAATGGTTGGATCGAGGCGAGTAGAGAGAGGCGGATAAGTAGATCGTCCACGTAGAGGCTGATAATGGTGAAACCGGAGGCGTCAGACTTGATGAAGACGCAGCGGTCTTTGTGTAGGCGGGTGTAC